TTTGCCAGTCAAGCGCTTACCCTACTGAGCCATCTCCCCGGCCCCTGTTTTAGCATTTCTGAAAGCTCTTGCTGTAAATGGAATTAACATGGAACTTCCTCAATTCTGTATAGTCACAAACTGTAGCTTTGTTGGATATTACATAACTGGATTCTTTTGTGGGGGCTTATTCGTGGACACTGGCTGATTCCTTTTTTATGAAGATGGTTATAAGTTCTAGATGTAAAGCAGCAGACTGGGTTTTTCAGTTGTACAGTTAGGTATTTCTTTTTTTATCAGATAATAGTGTTTTTTCCAAATGTACGCATCTTCTCAGAAGATTTTAATTAAGAAGTATTGAAACACTAAATGTAGATTGTATGAGTTGAAAGGAATGTCACTATTCTTAAAACATAGCTATTTGTTGCTACAACTTAAACTTTATCTTTCTATGTAGCATTTGTGACCAAAGGACCAACAATGTGATCAGCACATTTGCAAAGAACCTTCTAGACTCCATGCCCCACGATGCAATCATCTTACTCAGAGGTGACTTGCCAGGAAATGCCCTCCGTTACATGCACTACTGCGAGGGCTTACGGCCAGATATTTCCCTCGTGGATCAGGAAGTAAGTATTTATCGTATATAATACATAACAGGTAAAATTAATCTACCTGTTTCATATTAATGTCATTTTTAAGATAAAAATAAATGGCATTTTTAAGACATTTTGGAAAACACTGGCTCTTAAATAATGGATGAGTGCGTTGTTCATAATCACTTGTGCTACATATCACACTCTTTTGTTCAGTAATACAAATCATATGCATTCGTTGTCATTTAAACTAACTGGTTTAAGAATTACTGTGTTGGGGGCTGGGAGATGGCTCAGTGGAATAAGTGCTTCCCTGGCAAGCGTAAGAGTCTGAGTTCAATCCCCGGTTCTGCAAAAAAAAAAAAAAAAGATAGCTCAATGGACTAAGTGCCTATCTAGACAAGTGCAAGGACTAGGGTTCAATCCCTGGCACCACATGCCATGCCAGCCCTGCCCCAGGCATGCTGAGCTGCCCACTGAGATTGGGCGTGGTGGCACAAGCCTGTAATCCCAGCACTGGGGAGGCTGAAAACAGGAGGCTCATTACCGGTTTAAGCTGCATAGTGAGGCCCTAACCCTAAGTTGAATATAATATGAGTCTTACAGTGGGGAAGTAAGCCTCTCAAAGAATCTCAAGATAAGAATTGTTAACCAGGGGCTGGAGAGATGGCTCAGTGGTCTAAAGCACCTACTTGAAACAAGCTTGGCAAAGCACAGGGACCTCAGTTCGATCCCCAGCACCACATGCCAGCCAGACCCGCCCCCTGGTGGGCTGAGCTGGCCACACACACACACAATAAATAAATGTAATAAATAAAAATAAATAAATATTAAAAA